CATGGGGCGCTGCTCGCCGCCACCGGTGCGCCCCTCTCCCGCCCGCGTCCCCACCCTACTCGCGCAGCGAGGTCTCAGGATTTGCATCCCAGCGCGGGGGCGCTGTGCAGACATTATTCCGAAAAGAAAAGAAAAAAATGAAGTGAAAAAGGAAGTTACTGCAGACCACGTGGCCTGTCCCTGGCGGGCCCAACAGCCCCGCCCCTGCCTGCTTCCAAATTGGCCCGCGCTTTCCCAGCTGCCCAGCTAGTGCCAGGCCAGGACGGCTCGACCCATCGTTTAGCCGTTTGGGCCCCTGGCTCTAGTTCTTTGATGGTTTTCCCCTCCAGACTTAGTGAAAAGAGGCTCCCCAAGAATTCGTCTTCAATTGTCAGCTTCATTCCGATAATATTGCATGCCTACTGTGTGCAAGGCACTGTGCTTTAAGCTTGTTAGTTTGTCTCTGATTCAGGGGCAGGATTTTCCCAGAGCCAGAGGGGTTAAATGCCGAGGATCTCGCTGTAGGGATATGTCAAACAAATGTCACACAACGGTTTTCTGGAACACTGAGATAGGGCATTTCAGGGAGGCTGCATGACTAATAGAGATAGCAAGAACACTTCATGCTTTCCAGTAATTTTATTTTATCAAAACACCCTCCCCTCCCATTTTTATGACACCATTTTATTCTTGCCCAATTTGGCCTCCCTCCTGGCAAGCTCTAATGCCTACCCAGAAGAGCTGTTGAACCCCTCATGAGGCTATTTACATCCCTCCCTCCCCAAAACTTGTTTCCATCCCAAATTCAGTCTGTCTTTAATACTCTTGGGAAATTTCTTCTCTGGGGGACAGTACCAGGCACAATAATTCCTTGGCCTTTGCTCAGAAGGTACTGTCCTAGGGAATCAAAGAAGAAAGGCAGCCCTAGATGTAGAGAGGGGCCTTTGTGTATTCAGCCAGAGCACAAAGGCTTCAGGGTCTGTAGGTTGGGTTTGCCTCGAAAAAGTGAAATTGGGTTTGTGGAGGAGAGTAGAACCAGGAAGCTTATTGGTGAGCTCAGGATTCTTCATCCATGACATCTAGAATGTTGCTGAGAAGAACTTTGAAAGTGGGACGTTCATCTGCTTTCTAAAACCAAAGAAAAAGTAGAGTATTATAGTGGGTTAAAATCCAGAATTCAAGGGAAATGCAATGAGTATGCAGCAAATGTTCATTAAGTATATCTGCCCAGTAACATACCCTGTTGGTTACAAAAAAAAAAAAAGAATAAGAAGTAGTAGCACTCTATAAAATACTTTTGCACTTTTCATCTTCAGGTTATTAATGTGATGACAATTTGCGAATTAAAGTAACATTGATTAAAACGGGGCAAATTCTTACATAATTGTACACCAATGCATTCTTATTTTGTATCCTTAACTGAAAAGTTGCTACCAAACAAGCTTAAGTGGCTGACAGAACTGAAATCCTATAAGCTTTGATAATTTTTAGTTTGGTTTCAAACACCATTTCTATGATCTCATAGTCAAAATTAACAAAGGAATTAACATTTCAAGATCATGGGCTGAATCACTGAGCAGGGATCCTGAGCACCTGGGACCTGCAGTCTGGTCTCCAGGCTAAGGCCTTATGTAATGGTCCATAAGCCCCTGAGGTATTTAGAGATTCAGGGCATATTCATGCCAGAGAGGTCTCAGTTCATGGGGACCAAAAAGCCATCAATTTCTTGTTCCGTTGAATCAGTGGTTCTCAAACCTAGATGAGTATCAGAATTTCCTGGGAAGTTTAAAAAGATATTTCTAGGTTCCACTCCAGACATACTTTACCAGAATCTCTGGAGATACGGCCCAGTCATCTGTAGCTTTAAGAGTTCCCCAGAGATTCTGATGTGCATCCAATTTGGAGACTACCACTTTAAACAGGCTGTGGGGAAAGTGCCTCTCTGAAACAGTTAACTAAAAGAGTAACGATGCCCTAGTTGGGAGGGAGCATAGCCAATAACCCTTAATCCTGCATGATACAGGAGACAGAAGGGAAATGGCTCCAAGGGGTTCTCTATACTTTCTTTGTGACCTCAGTCATTTGTTGAAGGAAAAGATGCCATGCTCTGATCCAGATCCCCAGTTTATTACCCCACCATGAGGGCTCCAGATTCATATATGTGCTTGTTGGACACTGTCTGTTTTGCTCTGTTTCTAGTGGGACAGAACTAAGAGCTGAGCATTTATTTTTTACTAAAGATTTAGGTTGCCAAATTAAGGTTGCCAAGGATCTACTGAAACATGAACAAGGCCCCTCTGGAAGAACCAAAGGTGAGAACAGTGAAGCATTTTAGTAATAGTGGGACAAGCCCTTTATTTTCAAGTTACCACATGCCCCATAATGTACCATATTTAAAATAATAATAATAATAATAATAATAATAATAGTACCTATTTTAGCTCTCTTTCATGTCATAGGGTCTTAGTTTTTAAAATCTCACTTAGGACCACAGCCAGAAAAGGTTGGCAGTAAAGTAGAAGAAAGGACCAATGACTTCCAAGGAAATAAACACAAATCTTAATGACTTTTATTTTTTAATGCCCATACATTTGTTTGAGTGCTTTTGGCTGCCTGCCCATACTAGGCGACATGGCCTCACAACACCCCCTCTCCCTAAAGCTGAGTTGGTATTGGAGTCTGCTAATAATATTCTGGTGACAGTTGGAGTGGGCCTGGGAAAGCCTCTGGCTACCAAAGGTTTATGGTACGGGCTGGGGTGCTAGAATGTGTGCAGCTCCATGCAGCCAGAGAGAGTGGGGACTGGGTCCCTGGATGGCTAAATGAGAAAGAAGGTTCAGGGAAGTAATTTTAGAGGTCTCAGTAAAACACTTACCTCATGCCAGCAGCTGTACATGATGGTATATACCCTCTCTGAAGCTAGATGAGGCCTGTAGAGACGTAGGCCTTGGGCAATATGTTCAGCTGTTTCACTGTTAGTAAATCTCTCATATGGCATCTTCCCCAGAGAGTAAATTTCCCACATCAAAACCCCTAGAAAATGAAAAAAAAAAGTAAGTCAGTTTGTAGTCTTTTGGGGCAGCAGAGATCTTAGTCTTCCTAGATTAGCCTCAAGAATTAGATTCAGTTAATTTGCCCCTCTGTGCTTTTTGTGTTTTATCCAAACTTTCACTATAGTACTGACCACACTGGAGGCTAATTGCGGTTGCACTGGACCATTAGCTCCTCCAGGAGACAGACAGCATCTTATTTGTCTTTGTGGTTGTAGGGTCTGGCAGAGTCCCTATTACATAATCAGTATTCAGAAGCTGTCACATACTGAATGAATTGTTTGTTCCCCTCAATATTTTGTAAGTTCTGAGAAGGCAGGGATCGTGTCTAGTTTACTGGTTTTATACCCAGAAATCCTGTGATGCCTGACATAGTAAGCACTCCCTAGGGATTAGATGAATGAAAGCAAGAACAAATAATCTAAATAAGACCCGAGACATGGAGGCATGGAACAGATTGACATATCTCCATGTGTGTATATGTGTGGGAGTGGGGGGGGGCAAGAAGAGATAAGCCAAAGAATTTATGTACTTATATGCATAGCCCATAGACACAGACAATAGGGTGGTAAAGGCCTGGGAGGTGTGGTAGGGGCTGGGCAGAGAGGGATAACGGAGGGGGGAGAGGAGGGACACCTGTAATACTGTCAACAATAAATTATATATATATATATATATAAAAAATAAATGCCAGTTACATATCATTTAAAAAAAAAAAAAAAGAAAGAACAACTAATCTCTCTGTGCAGGCTGCAAAGTGTCAGTTCCCCCACTATGTCCCTCTTTCTTTGAGCTGTGTAATCTATATAATCTTAATCACTCACCAAAAGCCCAAATGTCAGATTTGCTGCTGAACTTGCTGTACATAAGGACTTCTGGTGGAGACCAGCGGACTGGAAATTTGGAACCTACTGAGCTTGTGTATTCATCATCCAGAACATACCTGCAAAGGATTCAGGATTTAGTGTTAGGATTTGGAGAGCTTGATACTTACTTATGTTTTCTTGGTACAGTCACAAGAGTTGCACAATACATGCCCACAAGCCACCCAGTGTCTTTTACAAATGGTGTTTTTAACATATTTCTGTTCTCATATCTGATTTATCTCTCCTGATTGACAATATGGTTACGGCAAGGGTGAAGAGAAATAAAATCTAATAGGCACTCCCTTCCTCTTCTCTATTCCTTTCCTCTTTTCTTCTCCTTCCCTTCCGTCTATTCTGCAGTTGCCAGAGGGACTTGGGGTGATTAGGAAAGAAGGAGGAAGGGCATAGAG